TTGAGATTAGATTTTTTTTATGTGTGTTTTTGTTTTCACAATCACAGAGCAGACCACAGCCTTTTCCTCCCCTCTCTCTCTTGACAAAATGAGTTAGTCTTACAGTAGATAAAAGAAGACGTCCAGATTCTTCAGGATTGTTCACCTAAAATCTCATCAGGATGTACCTGTAAAATCAAGCCCTCTGAATGATGGGTAAAGGCATTGGAAACACTGCAGCAGAGTGCTGGCTTGTGGTTTGGGGATCCAGCTAATGGGAAGGAGCCCCTTTCTTTCTGTGTTTCTGTGGAGAAGTGCAGTAGCTGGGACCAAGGCTTACCAATTCACCTGGGCATCTTATTTAAAGTCAAACTCTAATTCTGTAAGTTTCCACTTGATGCCAAGGCCCAGACCTCCATGAGCTAACCATCTTGACAGCCCAGGTACATGGATATTAGGGACAAAGTAAGTTCCATAAATCTAGAACCCTGTGTAGTGGAAAGTTTCCACAGTTTAAATGTTGACACCTCTGCCTCCTAACTGTCTATAATATAGAGTTGTATGTCATGAAGAACATGGTAGTGCAGTGGACTATAGTAAGATAGGCACTGGACTGTAAACCACAAGATTTACAGCCTCAGAACCCTTACACAGGGTCACTGTGCATCAGAACTGACTTGAACAACAATACCACCAACAGCCTTAAAGAACCCAGCTGCTACCCTTTAAAGACACCTCAAAGTTTCTGTTAGCTTTCCATTGGCCAGCATGAAATCCTGTTTCTATTGGCTAGTTGGTGTGAACAAGCTCTTTCCCTCCCCTCACAAAACACCCACACAGAGGACTCTTCTGACCCCCTTCCTCTCCAGGGATGGAGACTCACATGTTCCTCAAGTCATAATTATTTTAACTATCTGAAAATAACCCTTGCCCTCACTTCAAATGACATCTGAAAAGTTGGAGACCCAGGACTACCCAGAAGCACCTGGGAAGATCTACTCCTGAAAAATCAGCCATTGAACACCCTCCGGAGCATAGTTCTCCTCTGACATATATGAGGTTACCATGACTCAGATTCAATTCAACAGCAATGGGTGCGTTTTGGTGTGGCACTGTAGGATAAGCATTGGACAACTTCAAGGTTGGAGGTTCAAATCCACCAGTCACTCCTCAGAAACCCTATACAGAGTCTCTATGAGTCGGAACTGACTCCATGGCATTTAACAACAACAACAACAACAAACCTCTAATGTTAGGTCTACCACCTTCAAATTGAATTGTTGATAGGCTATATGGTGAAGCCATATACCCAACACTCCCCTATACCTGCCCCCAACATAAACGGCAATATCTTAACCCTTTTTTATTTTCCTGACTCTGGATAGAATGAAAGATGCCAGCATAGAGCAGCTCACAAAACTGGAGCAGAGAAGTTTGGGATCTGGGAAAAGGATGTAGGTGGGTACACACAACTCAGAGACACCCCCTACCCTCCCACACACATTCCCTATTAACTACTGTCACAAAGCAGTTGTTTCATTCCTCTTCTTTAGAATTTTCCTGGTGTGGCATTGTAAGATAAGCACTGCCCTACTAACCAAAAAAGGAGCTCTGGTAGCATAGTGGTTACGAATCAGGCTGCTAACCTCAAGGTCAGCAGTTCGAAACTACCAGCTGTTCCATGGGAGAAATGGGAGAAAGATGACCGTAAAGGTTTGCAGCCTCAGAAACCCTGTGCAGGGTCACTATGAGTCGGAACCAACTCCACAGTATTTAACAACAACAACAACTAACCAAAAGGTCGGCGGTTCAAACCCACCAGTTCCTCCTTGGAAACCGTATGCAGGATCGTTATGAGTCAGAGCTGACTCTATGGAACTTGATGACAACAACAAGGCAACATGTCAAATGATGAAGCTTCTTCTTCCTATTAAAAACAAGCCCATTGCCAGCAATCTGATGCTGATTTACAGCTTACCCTAGCGGACAGGATAGAGCTCTCCCATAGGGTTTCCATAGCTGTCAACTTCGTGGATGCAGACTGCTACATTTTCCTCTCAGGGAACAATTTAAACCATTTATCTTTCACGGAGTGACTTATTGTTTAATCGCCGCACCACTAGGATTCCTTGTCGATTTAAAACACACAACCAAACACAGCGCCATTAAGATTCTGACTCACGGCAACACTGCATAAGGTTCCCAAGACTATAAATATCTACGGAAGCCGATAGCCTCATCTTGCTCCCTTGGAGTGGCTGGTGGGTTTACAGCCCAATGCTTAACCCACCGTACCACCAGTTCTCCTCTTTCCAAGGAGGGCCTTTTTAAACGCCTCTTGCTGAGTCAGATCTCTCCTATACTGTTGGTTAAACTTTGTGATCTATGGCCAAGAATTGAAGTCATAGGAACTGGAGATAGACTTCAGGAGCTGATCACTCTTGGAAACCTTAATCATTTCTTATAAAGCAAGTCGGCTTTCTCTGAGCCATGTGGACTCACCTCCATCCTTTTCCCAGACATCAAATTCCTTGCTCTGTGTGCTCACATCTTTGACTCTATTCACAGAGTGAAGAAAGTTGAAAAAGGATAAGATATAATAGTTCATGTTGGCTGTGGATATAGGTATGGAGGACAAGAATCAGGGAAGGAAGGGTGAGTTGGGGGTGTTTCTAGCATTTTGTTGTTTTTTAGTGGGTCTGGTCTGGTGCTTGGTTGCTGTTAAGTGCTGTCAAGTTGGTTCTGACTCATACTGACCCTATGTAGGGTTTCTGAGGCTTTAAATCTTTGCAGGAGCAGAAAGCCTTACCTTTCTCCCACAGAGCAGCTGGCAGGCTTGAACCACAAGCCTTGTGGTTAACAGTCCAGTGCTTAGTTTCTGGTAATTATTTTTTTATTAGTAGATCACAGCTTTGTGGATTAAGTGCGATAAAGTGTATAAACGTATATTACAGACTATGTAACATTTTAATATAATTGGTCGCCTGTGTGAAGTAAAATTTTATCATTTCAAAATAATTGTGTTCAAGGAGGTAAAGCCAAGCTGATTTAGTGAAAATTCTCCATAATGCTATACTCCAAATAAATACAATTCGATTGCTTTTGCTACTGCTGCTGTGTGTTATCAAGTCGGTTCTGACTCATAGGGATCCTGTACAGGGATTCTGCGGCTGTGAATCTTTATAGGAAACAGAAGCCTTGTCTTTCTCCCACAGAGCAGCTGGTGGATACCACTGCACTACCAGGAGTCCTAGTGTGACACTATGGGTTAATGCCCTGACTGCAAGTTTGGTTTGAATTGCCAGGTCGGTGGTTCAAGCTCACAAGCTGCTCATGGGAAACCCTATACAGGGTTCTTATGGGTCAGAACCAACTCGACAGCACATAGCAACAACAACCAGGGCTCTTTATTGCTTTTAGATCTATGTGCATATTCAAATCAGGATAATTGAAGTGGAATTTGTAAGAATGTGCTATGGTGTTTCTCGTAACCATGTCTAATGTTTTTGAAAATCCTTAACTGTGGTGTTGGTTTTAACTGTTATTTTTTCAAACCCTATTTCTTCCAAAGGCAAAACTACCTAATTACCAAAACACACTTAGCTGAGCTTTAATACATTTTAAATTTCATTCAGAGTTATCCTTTGAGAAAGCCTGCTATAAACCAGGCACTCTGTTGGATACTTAATCTACAAAATCTCATCTAATCTTCACACACACACTGGGAGGGAGGACGAGAATCGCTCCCCTTCCCACCTCTTTTTTAAACATTGAATCTTCAAAAGATTATGTGTTTTGCCAAGATTAATATTGAGGGAGCTATGGTGGCACAATGGGTAAGCACTCGACTACTAACCACAGGTAGGCAGTTCTACCCCAC